CCCGCCGTTTCGTGTCGTAGTGCCACACTACCTCCTTCATGGCATTGTACAAGGAGTTCCACCTTGTCGCGTTAGGCGTTGGTAGTAACATCCCCAGCCTCTCCTTAACGACGTCCTAGGCAACGGTACTTCTCCTCTGCTTGGACCAAAATGCCTTGCATTTGCTCAGCACGTTGCCCCAAGCAGTGTTCACCAAGCCGGGCCGCTCCAAAGCTTTCTCCAGGTGAGTCGTGGCCACCAGGTTGAGGAGGTGGCACGCACGTCGGCGGTGGGGAGGAAGGCTGACAGGGGCGCCACTCCCCTCCCCCTCGACGAATATGTCGCCAAACGAGTCAACCTGGGGCTCGTCGTCGTCGTCCTCTGTCCGTTCTGTCTTTGTCGAGTCCATGTCCAGGTCATCATCTGAGTCCTCGCCGCCCGCCCTAAACTGCCTAAAAAATGCCGATCAAAATTAAAAACCGAGGAACACCTTCGCGTGCAGTTAGGGCAACATAAAAAATACAGGTTATTTTTACCGAACAGCCTTCAAGAAGTTGGACTCATTGTCTGTGACGGTGCACGAAATCTTTTCCTGTATGCCATACTTCTGAAAAATGTCACTCAGGAGTGTCGCTAGTATGTCTGGCTGCCTTTAACACGCCGACACGCTAACGCAGCGGAGCATCGTTCCAGAGTGTCAGGGTCCAAACAATGCACTGTAACCCCAAGATATCCCTTAAAAATAAAAGAATAAGTTGCCTTCCAAAATTTAAGTATTGATTCATAAAACTGCTTATCAATAAACCACTTACTTTCCACGACTCTTCCACGCGTCGGCCGTCGTCCCCATCCACGTTACACGGGCCAACTCAGCAATCAATTTGTCTTTGGTCGTGTTGTACAGGGCGGGGACCCGGCGCCTCGCCGTCTTCCGTCAGAATACGGACCGCCCGGGAGCCAACCGTTTCATCAGCTTTGTAAATTTTGGCCGGCCCAAAATTTGGAAAGGCAACTTGCTCTCAATAATAACCTCCAGAAGAAGTTTGTCCAGCTCTTCCAGTGTCAATGTGCTGGCCCGCCCTGCCTCACAGACTGCCCTGATATCCAGTTGCCGAGGACGGAGCCCATCTGTTAGCCGCTTAGGTGTTTCCTTCCTCCTTGCGATCACTTTATTGAATACGATTAAAATTGATAAGAAATTGGCAAACATTACAGCTCATTTAAGGGGGCTTTTATCTCCCAAAATGCATTTTTGGTACATTTGTCAATAAAATTAGTTTCTGAGCCACTGTAGGT